TAGGCGATACAATATTCCTCAAGAAGAGCTCATACCCTACATTGTTTTTATCTATCTTATTTATTATATCTACAGCAATGTCTCTGAAATAATGATTGAACATATTGGCAATCAAATTTGGTGATTCTACCATACGGTTATTGTCTTTTATTATTATATTTTTTTGCTTACTATTTGACTTATTAGTTTACTGAGATACAATTCCCCACGCTGCTTTATGAATATTGTCTGCGTTTTCTATTTTACTCTGGTAGTATCGTTTTTTAATCGAATTGATCAGTTTTAAATGTTTTAGTTTCTCCTTATTGTGAAAAGTTTATCATATCATGCCTTGGCTTCAACGGTATTTTTTTCGCCAAAAAACAATGCTTATTGGCACGAAGTTCCTTTTTATCCATTATCTTCACACTAACAAAAGTTGCTTCACTCAAACTGTTTTATTCCATAAAATAATAGTCCAGCAGCTGTGTCTTCTGAAGATTGGGTTTAACTGTAAATCATATGTCTACGAACTTTTCAGTCCATCTACTATGGGTGTTTGATGTAATTTCAGAATGGAGAAAGTCAAGAAGACTATACGAGATAACGATGTTGAGGTTCAGTATATTTTTCAATTTTTTTTACTGTACACTGTCTGGTCAATATGCCATGTCTCAATCTAGTCTTCATTCAAATTTATGAACGTTTGTTTTGACTGTAGGTGTCAATAGAGTTTGTTGCAGAGAAATGGAGTTTTTCGCATATTGGCGAAGGTCTCAACTGCCCCATACTGATCAACAATTTTTCCCCAGTTATCCCTAGTCCTATGTAGGGTTACGTAGGGAGAAAAAATGAAGAAACCTCCAATTCAGTATTGGAAGTAGAAAACCAATTTGAAATACAAAAGAGTTTTGTAATGGATTGTATGTGTTCGACATTTTTCAAAATTTAGGTAATAAACCTTCTAAGTCTATCATTATGACAGTTGAAAACAATCATTTAAACTTATCATTTCTATTCTTGCAATGGAGGAAATTTCGACTACTCTAGTTTCAAATTTCAAAAAAACGAACAGATGCAATCTTTTCAATCAGGCCTGCTTGTGAAAAGAAATCGTAGAATTCTTGTTATGTCGAAAGATTTTTTCTTGGAAAAAAACAGAATGTTGGCCAATACCGACGAATGCACATTGTCAATGAGTGTCAATTTGATACGACACTGGGTGTTATGCAATTCTGTTATTTAGATTTAGACTAACGAGAAATTAAATGAGCTCAACAACCTGTTTGCCAACCGCGTAAATCTGTCGTTTTTATTTTATTTTTATTTTTCTNCGCATAATCAATCAAATTTCGAACACTTTCGTATTTTTCTGAGTTTGGTACAAACTCTTTCGCGTATAATAATTTAAAATAAATACAGGATTTTTTTCAAATTAGTACGCACACAAATCATTCAATTTGATTTATACAATTCAAATATTCACACACATTTCAACCGATTTAATTTGGTGAATTTGGGATATAACCCATAATTATTATCATATGATTAACATATCATTATTTCAAATAATTGGAGTGGAATCCGTCTCTGCGTGAATGGCTATCTAGACCAATGTTGTACTGCATTTCATGGAATAAAAAATTCGAGAATTGTGATATTAATTCTGAACAAATAGAAAATGTGAATTTGATGATATTTCATTATCAATAACAATAATAGCGTTTATTATTTGCATATTAGAGAATATACAATAAGTATATGAAAATTAAGAGAACTCACATTAAAAAATAAGTCGCAGTTTATTTTCTAATCTGTCAACACCAGCGGCGGCTCGTCAAAGGAGGCAAGGGAGGCTTAGCCTCCCCATAAAATTTAAGGCTACTCATCGCAATGAATTAAAAGATATCGACAAATGATTATGATAATTTTTTTCTAAAAATGCTTGGTTATCATTACTAGATCATTAGTTTTTAATATAAATACATAATATGCCCGAAAAAACACTATCACTCACTACGTAGTACGTATCACACTGTATCCTGCATCAACAAAACTCAAACACACCGCACATGAATGAATAACGAATAAACCATCAACCCGAAATAATAAATGCCATACGTTCCAAGGGAGCCAAGCCTCCGACTGCTTTAAAAAACACAGGCTCCACGAGACCGATCCAACCAGCGACATATGTCCCGATTTGTAATTTCAGTTGCAGAAATTATAGCGTTAGAGGAGGCTAGCCTCCAGTTGGTCTCCGTTAGTGTACGACTGCGTTTGATTTTTATTTAATTATTCGGACGGGATGCCGTGACGGACCGGGAATGAAAAATATTTCGGTAAATCAGTAGTATTGTATTATAGCCGTGCTTTTTGGTAATATTTTTAATGTGTTTTTAAAGTGTTTACCTTTCAATTTCAAGGTGTTTTCAGGTTTTTACTTTTCGGTAAGTTTTTTTTTTCATTTATTATGGATAAGTCGGACGAAATTAAAAAATCTGACGATATAGTCGATTGATTGCTGCCAAATAATTTCAAATCTTTATCTTATGATAATAAATTTTACATTATTGAAACTCTGGGAAGGCCTCAACCAAATTAATTTCAATTAAAACGTCAGATAATCAACAAAATCGAGGATTTAATATCAGTTGGTACGATAAATGCGATTGGTTAACCGGCTCCATCAAACGAGAAAAAATTTTTTGTTGGCCCTGTGTTTTATTTTCCGTACAAACCGAATACCAAACGTGGTCTAAAATAGGATACTCCGATTTAAAAAATTTACCTCGTTCTACAGAGAGACGTTTTAAATCTAAGGAGCATATATTTTCGTCTTGTAAATTAAAATTGTTTAGCAAACAAAATATAGCAACAGCTTTAGACACACCTCAAAAAGAGAGCATAATTTCTTTAAATATTCAGGTTAGGGAAAATCGGTCGAATTTAAAAAGACTTGTCGATATTACGATTCATTTGGGTTCCGAAGAATTAGCTTTTCGTGGACACGATGAAACCAAAGATTCGATTAATCGCAGCAATTACAAGGAACTTTTAATGTTATGGGGCAAATATGATTCACAATTTGGCACTTTTTTAAACGGTAGCGTTTTTTCGGGCACCTCAAAAACCATCCAAAATGAGCTTGTAGACAGTGTGGCATATATTATTGAGGAAAATATAAAAAAAGAGATTGAAAGTGTTTCTTTTTTTGCATGGGAAATTGATGAAACTACCTATATTACCTGTACATCACAGCTTTCAATCGTTTTCAGATATGTCAAAGATGGTAATGTGGTAGAACGTTTTATGGGTATTCATGATGTTTCATCTGGGCGCACAGCTGACGATTCGTTTAATTTTTTAATTCGTACGTGTGACACCTATAATTTTAGGCAAAAGTTAATTGCGCAAATATATGATGGGGTTGCGGTCATGGCCAGCCATTTAAATAGTTTACAAACTAAAATAAAGTCCATAGCTCCTCATGCACTTTTTATGCATTGTCATGCCCATGCCCTAAACTTAGTATCAAGCAAAGCGTGCAACAACATAAAAAATTTCGCGCCTACGGCGGGCTTTTCTGTGTGTATATAGTCTTTATAACTTTAGCCTCCCCTGTTCTCCAATGCACGAGCCGTCACTGTTAACACTACAGTACGAGTAATGCAATCACATAAAACCGGTGATCTGAATTTGCAACATAACGTCGGAAGAAAAGAGAATTGAAACTTACTTATCACTTTCTTTACCACTTTTATTTGTAACTAAGGTTAGTGCAGTTTCGACCTATAAGGACATATTCAAACTTATACTTTAATGTATAAGCAGACAAGCACGACTCAAGCATACAAAATGCTTAGGTGCAGTCTCGTCGTCCTACAGAAACTTTATAATAATCGTCGATATGTATCATTATCTGTACACTTTAATCTGAATAAAAATCTGAATACTGAAATCTGAGTTCATATACTTTAAATTGTCGCTTGTAGATTTTTATTATAGAACATAGAATACAGATCAACTTTCAGCGTATCATCTATGAATTATATATTGCGTTAGTTTTAACCATTTTTTCGATCATTTTCCACTTTGTACATTACAGTATGGAACGTTATCTGAAAATTTTATTTTCTGTAGTGGTTGTGTTTTGTCGCAACACTAAAAAAGTTCGGCTCACTTAGGTTTTTCTTCAGTTTCTCTGATGGAGATTTAAATAACACATTTGATTCTCAGTTTCTTGTATTGTATATCAAATGAAACTAGGGGAGTTAATTTTTTATCGGTCACATTGAGAAGATAGACGAATATAAAATTGTTGAAAAAAAATAGATATATTTTATCAGTAATGATTAACGCTGCGAGGAAACGAAAATATTTTTTCACAAGGACAACAAGATAATTTGGGATTTAGATTTCCCGTGCGATTTCCCGTGCGACGCATCTTCTTATCATTCCTGCCGCACCTAGGATTGGCTGAAGATAACACCAGGAAGTTGACAATGAATCTTCCTTCTATTTATTTTGGTCCTTTTTGAAAGAATATTCGATAATTTAATGGAGTGTTCCGACATCCGGAGATACACGGTCTCTCACTTAATTAAACTGAACAAGCCGCGTCTAAAAACTATTTTCGGCTTGGTCGCATATGGACGGAAAGAGACACGCTTTCTGATATTTATTGCCTACGAGGCGTTATGGTTTCCTTTTTGGTATGATAATAAACATTGGGGTTACCAGTTCTCGACGATGGAATAAGGCAAAGAAAGGGAAACGCAT